CTATTTCTATTGGATTCAGAATAATTTTTAACTAGTTCAAACGTATTTTTAAAAAATTGAGTGAAAAATGTTTTTTTTCGAGAAAATCAGGTAGAGAATTCACATATTTTTTGAGAAAAGAGACACTGTTCTCCCTTATAAAAAGCCATAAGAAAAAAAGAAGATCATAACTTTGTAGCGCGTCAAAAGGCGGTTCTAATGGCGTTTGAATAAAGTTTCCATCTCATAGGGCAAAAAACTAGATACATTTACAAAGTCGTGCACCACGAGGTTGAGGGGTGAGACCATCCGCATTTCCATACTGAACACGGTACATGCAATCAGTCTTTAGTTAACATTTCTATACTCAGTTTTTCATGAGGATTTCGAATATCACCTCAAAAATCAAAAAACCTTGAGTAAAAAAATAGTTATAGCATTGTTTCTGGCAAGGAGGTCATTTTCATGTTTTTGACTACCACTCAGTATTTTGAGTGGTTCTCTATGATTACTTGACCTAAATCAAAAAATAAGGTGATATTCGTGATCAGCAACTCAGGACGAATCAGAATATATGTGAAAAAAGAAAAAAAAAATTTTGTGGAAACTTTGCATTACTGGCACCTTATGTTATCAATATTTGAATGCACCATGCACATTCAATTCATTTAGTCGACAAATAGAGATACAAATGGTCAAATTCAAGAGTTTCTTTGGTTATTTTGATTGAATGAATTTATTCATCTTTGATCATTATTATTAATTAATTTAGAAAATAATCATAATATTGAAAAATTATTATGTAGTTTATATTATTGTTCTCCCACTACCCAGTGAAAAATGTTTGATTAGAAATCCGATTTTAGTGAAACAAAATCAGGATTGTAATCGATTGAATGAATTTCCTTTGTGAGGAAACAAAGGAAATCTATTTAATCGATTAAAATCTTGATTTTGTTTCACTAAAATCGGATTTCTAATCAAACATTTTTCACTGGGTATCAGACAGCAATTTTATCTGTGTTATCAGGTTCAAAAATCACGAGTTTTTATTTCAATGTGGCATCTTTATTTTAAATGAAAATTTCACTTACATCATTATAAGAATTACTTCTTGTCGGTTGGATGAATTATTTCAATATGCATCGATGGTAAAGTATTTAAAAATTGAACGCATATGTAATATGAATTTCTCTATTGAGAAGACTTTACGGTTTTCTTTGAACTATCGTTACAACGTATACCAAATTTGACAATTTTTACAAAATATAATGAGAAAAAATGAAATATCTTAATACGATTGTCAATTTATCATTTAGAAATTTTAAATGCATGTAATATTTTCTCATCATTAATATTATTAAATATACTAAATGAATTATCATACATATCATCATTTCATAAGGATCATAAATTATGCGACCATCTAAGAGAAAGATTAATAAATTATCTATGGTTAGTTATTCGGATGAATATTTTATAGCACGTAATGAAGTAGATTCGATTTTCAAAACATTTTACTAATGTCGAAGAACTTCACACATGCGTTGAAAAACTTAATGATTTATTATTAATATTACAACAATGTTCAAAATTAGATATATATCTTAATTTTATCTTTATTGAGCGTAAGAAGAGACACCATTGTTAATTTCGATGCATTGATCAATCATATTTTGAATCTATGTTTTAAAATTCTGAATCATTCTACTCACATCAGTATAGTGAGGATCAAACATATTGTCACTCGAGAATGCCAACAATACAATAATATAGGTTTGTTTCTTCGATTTTACAGACAGATACATAGAGCTGCCTTAAAAATTGAATGCCTTGAGAGGAAGCATCTTGTTATTGAATTGTGAGAAAACTCTCCATTAAATTCTCATTTTATGAACAATGAAAATAAAAATAAGTGTTTGTATGATAATAAAAATCAATGAAAAATATTTTCTTTTTTCTCTTATTTTCAAAGAAAATTCTCTTCAAATATTTAATTAAAAATAGAAGATTTTTTCAAAATAACAATTAGAAATAATCAAATTATTAATTTAATTTTTAATACGATGAAAAACATTTTTTAGTTCAACTGAGGTGATATATTATTCAAATGAATATGAAAGTGTGGGGTGGGTGTGGGTGTGGGTGTGGGTGTCTGCATTATCTTTATCTACACTCAAATCCCACATCTACACTCACACCCTTTATTGATCTCACCATGGTCGGTAAAACTTGATAATCAACTCAATTTATATGTTGCCGATTCTGGCAATCATAGAACACAAAAATTTTCAAGATATTAAAGAATATCTTATTTAAAAAAATATTCATGTTTTTGATTAAATTTTAATAAAAATAAATTTGTTGAACGTGACATCAAAATAAAATTGCTTTATAACGATTTATTTCTTATTTCATACACTAGAGATTTGAATTAAACATTTTTGAATTCATTTTTGTTTTATTATTTACAATATCTTACGATTCTCTTTTTCAAAAGCATAAAAAGAAACAAACATATGTAATGAAAAATATTCATAAAAAACATTAAAGCATTCGTCAGACATCTTAGACATTATATATTCCAAAGAAAATGAAAAAAAAATGCTATTATTGGAAGAAATATATTCATTTTTTAAAACAAATATTCATACATCGAAGTAACACAAAAATTTTTTTTTCTTATCATTACCATCATGGCAGACAATACAAATGGGCAAAGAGCATCAGGTATTCTTAAAAAATATTAAACTCTGATGGTATATTAAAATGAGTTTATTTTTAGACCGATGGGTTACGAGAACAAAGCCTACTGTTATTAAAATACTTCCTCGTCGTATTAGCCCGCGTCTTCTCATAAGATCAAACTATTCTACTGGACATACAAACAAAGTTCATCCTGAAATTCAGTTTCGAAATCCGAATTTGGTTTGATTTTGTTTTTCATTTATTAGATTTTTCATGGTTCTTTCACTCTCAAAAAAAAAGACTTTCTTATTGTTTTAATAGAATGATACCTATATTTTGTCGAATCATTATTTACTGGGCGACATGCGACAATACTATGCATATTCTACACCATGGAGTCATCATCAAATGAAACTATTAAAGTCTCCGGCAATATTGTCAAATGTAATTCATGTTTTGCTTACTCGAAATTAATTAATTTTATATAAAATCTTTTTCTTAGAATATATTATATGATAACAATCGTTATACTCAAGTAAAATAAATTATCTTAATTTTATATTTTTTTTCTAATTGAAAATAGATGAGAGAGGTCTCGTCGAATGAAAAAGGCGTACTGAATGATTATCATAGATCTTTGCAGAAAAATAAAAAGAAAATGTAAGAATATTTTTATGGGTGATTCATTGTGTTCCATCTCACCATGCTTCTGTTTAACTTTAGTCGCGCCCGTCAATTTATCACTGCTATATTACTTTTACTTTTAATAAGTGGAATTATCACAGTTGCGATTCTGGTACCTCTATTAATTAAATTTCGATCTGAAGCAAATGCCCAACCGTGTAAGATGCAAATAATAGAAATTTCTTTCGTTTATACCAAACAATTTTGCTTTGTAGCTACTATACCTGTACTGCGTTGGAAATCGAATGGTATTACTGTTGCTGGAGTAACAGGCAGTTCTGGGGATGCTAACTATCAGTTCAATCAACCTAAAAAAGCAGCTTGGCAAAGACCTAATATACTTTACATTGCTGATTATCAAAATAATCGTATACAACGATATGAAATAGGTTCTTCAAATGGTACAACTATTTCAGGAAATGGTTCTTTCGGTTTAGCTTCAAATGAGTTGTATTATCCTGCCTATGTCACAATCGCTTCCAATGATGGAATAGTTATTGCAGATAGGTACAATAATAGAGTCCAACTTTGGTTTAATGGTAATACAACGGGAACTACAATAGCTGGAACCGGTAAACAAACCGAATCTATTTATTTGATGATTGTTGAAAGAAATCGTTTTAGGTGTCTCTGGTAGTGCCCTCAATCAGTTGCACTATCCAACCGGTCTTGCATATGATTCGAACTCTAGTATTCTATACATAGCTGATTATAGTAATGATCGTGTAATGCGCTATGTATCTGGTGTTTTGAACGGTACAGTTGTTGCTGGTGGCAATGGTTTTGGAACAAATTATACACAGTTATGGAGACCGGCTGGTTTATATTTCGATTCATTCTCAAATAGTTTAATAATTGCTAGTACCAATGTTCATGCTATAGTTCAATGGCCTTTAGATGCTAGTAATTGGGCACTAACAGCAGGATGCGTTGGAATTTCAGGGCATAATGCAACATTACTTAGCTACCCTCAAGATGTAACGTTGGATCCTATGGGTAATGTATATGTTGCTGATACAAATAATCATAGAATACAGTTATTCATGAATGGACAAACTGAAGCAGTAACAATCGCAGGTACTACAAGCATATCTGGTAATAATGACACATTATTAAATGGGCCTTTCGGTATCACATTAGATAATCAACTTAATTTATATGTAGCTGATACAGGCAATCATAGAATACAACAATTTTTACGATATTAAAAATAATCTAAGTTCGTAAATCTGACACTGAATTTTACGTCGATTCTTTTTTCAATTGTAACATTAAATAAAATAAAAAGAAAATTGGTAATCAAGGTAACAGGCAGAGAAAGAGAAGAAATCTACATTGTATGGTTTATTGATTTGTTTTTAATTACACAATGTAATACCAGTTGTGCATTGCAATCTAGAGAAACTCTTTCTAAACCCTCCTGCAGAATAGAAGCCCAGGAGGGTACCTCTGTTCTGCAAGCTATAACTTTGTAACAAAACATGCTTCGGGGCCAGTTTTTGCGTTATTTGATAGAGAAATGTTGATTCTTTCACTTTTCATCGGTTTTACTTCATTTTTCATAAAGTAAAACTCGATTTTCAACGGAGACTTTTAGCCTAGGGTGTGGGTTTCTATTCTGTACAGGGGTTTAGCTAACAAATCTTCTTACTTCTCGTCCCTAGGCACAATCTTTGATATTTCAGTACAGGATCCTTGGCAGATACGTTAAGGATCCTGCAAGGATTCGCTCTTTTTTACGGAGGAATCGCTGAATTCTGAAGAAAGCATGTAGCCACTATTTTTCAGGATCCCGTCAGGATTGGGATCATTCACAAAAGAAAAAAAACGGGGTGTGGGTGGGATGTGGGTGTGGGGTGTTGGTGTGGATGTGGGTGTGGGTGTGGGTGTGGGTGTGGGTGTGGGTGTGAGTGTGGGTATGGGTGTAGGTGTGAGAAAAGAGGGCGCTCACCCTGACACCTACACCCACACCCGCACACCCACACGCACACCCACACCCACACCCACACGCCCACGCCCACACCCGCACCCACGCACACCCACGCCCACACCCGCACCCAACCACACCCACACCCACACTCACACCCATACACCCACCCACACCCCACACCCACACCACCCACACGTATACCCACCCCACACTCCACACCCACCCACGCCCACACCCGCACCCACCCCCCACACCCACACCCACACCCCACACCCACACCCACACCCACACTCACCATTCGATAGAGCTCATTGAGTTCTATCCATCTATGTACATTTCAGCTTTTGGTCCACCCTGTGGGCCAATCGAGGTGCGATATACCTTGAAAACCAGGATTCTGACCAGGATTTGCCCTTTCAGAGGGGATCCAAAGGTCGAATCTGGTTGTAGAGGTGTCCATTCGATAGAGATCACCGAGTTCTATCCATCTTTGTACATCTCAGCTTTTGGTCCCAGCTGAGGACGAATCTAGCTGGGGTTTACCTAAAAAAACCAGGTTTTCTGGATATATTAGGGTTTCATGGGGGATGGAAGAATATAAAATACCTCAAAAGGTGTTCGTTGGATAGAGCTCATCCAGTTCTATCGATCTATGTCATTTTCAGCTTTTGGTCCCAGCTGAGGACGAATCCAGCTCGGGTTTGCCTAAAAGAGCCAGGTTTTCTGGATATATTGGAGTTTGATGAGGGATGGAAGCATACAAAATACCTCAAAAGGTGTCCATTGGATAGACCTTGTTGAGTTCTATCGATCTATGACATTTTCAGCTTTTGATCCCAGCTTGGAGCGAATCCAGCTCGGGTTTACCTAAAAAAACCAGGTTTTCTGCAAAGACTTGGATTTTGAGGGCGATGAAAGCATCGAAAATACTTGAAAAGGTATTCATTGGATAGAGCTCGTCGAGCTCTATCGGTCTATGTGATTTTCGGCTTTCGGTCCCAACTGGGGGCGAATCCCGGTGCAGTTTACGAAAAAAATCTGATTTTTTGCTCTTTTTTTTACAGTATTTTAAGTTTTTCTCCCGCCTGGAATGGTTTTGGAGAAAAAGGAAATAGTGCATTGGATAGAGCTCGGTGAGCTCTATCTTGGTCCACAGAGTTTGGCTTTTGGTCCCAACTGTGGACGAATCCAGTTACAGAATACTCGAATCCAGGCCCAAGATATCCTACGTGATTTCCTCAACTTTTCCTTGCGTTTTCCAACCAATAACTCGAATGCGTAACCATTCCCTTTGATTGATGTGCATGTGTTAAATATGTCATTCATTATGTAAGCATTCCGAATGTATCTTTTTACGCATTGTGTTTAGAGCAACCTGAAATCGAACTTTTTTCGAGCATTCCACTATTCCTAACCTATTGGTCTTCTTTCTACTCTTTTTTAAACTTCTTTAATTCATTTATTCATTCGCTCTGATGTGTTTCAGTGCTACTAATATCGCTAGAACGCCCACTCCCACAGTTCATTACTTTCTGTGTAAAACAATTTGCTTAAAAGTTAGCGAAATAAAAACTAATAATTCATTGTAATGGCACCATTATAATCTGGTTTTAATTAGATTTTTTAAACTGTAGGGGTCGAATTATTTTTCTATTCGGTTATTTTACAATCTGTATTAATCGATCTAATCATAGTTCAGCAGATGATCGATAAAAATGCATTGTAAAATAATGGAATAAAAAATAATTCGACATCTACAGCTTGAAAAACCTGATTGAAATCAGATTATAATAGTGCCATTGTAATTGATTATTAATCATTATTTCTCTAGCTTTTAATCAAGTCATTTTTACAGAGGTTCATTTAAGTGCTATCTGCGTTTAACGGTGTAAATTACACATAGATTCACCTATTTGGGACTCAGACAATATACTAGCCGACTAATCTGCCCTTCGCCTAACCCATTGACGTTTAGACAATGCATCAACCCACACTCTAAAAAATTTCCATATCCTGGAAAACGCTTTAAGCTCGAAAATCCTCTCGGAAACCTTTTTTCAGTTTCCGAGAGAGTTTCCGAGCTTCTGAAGCGTTTCCAACAGTACCTGCGCGGTTTCCGAGATGTCAGAAACCTTTCAGTTTTCGAGAATACCAAATTCGATGCGCGTAAAGTATTCGAGAATACCTTTTCATCAACCTCGAATACCTGATTACCATTTTTGGGAACCCATACGGTTTCTAGGAAACGGATGCTCTTCAAAAATATGTTTTGGTATCCGAAAAGGTATCCGAGGATACCATTTTGGTTTGTGACACATCTTATAGGAAATCCAGTACCTTCCCAAATGGTCCACGACTGGTATCCGAAAATACCTTTTTTGGTTTCCGAGTACCTTTCTCGGAAACCGAAATGGTTTCCGAAGTCTCTGAAATTCGAAAAGTTACAGCGCAAAATCAGAATTAGTTTTCAAATGCCACTTATATAAATAACGGTTTCTATTGTTTAGAGCTCTTCAAACGGTTTTCTCAAAAAGTCTTCGACCTGAAAATTTTCTCGAAACATAAAATTCATGCTTCAAGCTAATGTTTTACTTACGTTATTCCTTCTTATTTAAGAAATTATAGAACGGAGAACTCTTAGAATTTTCATACAACATACTTGTTTGTATATCTGCAACCCAGAGCTTCAATTATTCATTTTAATCTCAACCTTTTTTAACTTTTAAGTTATTTCTCAAATTATCAAATAAATTTACTTTAATTTATCTATAAACATATCGGGAAAATTTGCTCTGCATAATTTTCTGGAATGCTCTAATGTGTCGTCTTTTCTGCGCTACGTTACATTTCAATGTTAATCGAAGTTAATTAGGTACAGCTTCACTCTAACATTTCGTTTGTATACGATCAGCTAAAATCGCAATGATATAATTTCTCCAGCACAAACTTCCTAATCCTTCAGATATCCAGAGAAGCTATTTAATTAGTATACATGCCCTATAACACAGACAAGCCGAACCAACTTTCTACAATACTACCATTTTGATTTCATCTACATAATGCTTCTTTATTTCTACATATCCACGTAAAAATAATGACTCCGCCATCAGCAACGGGCTCCTATGTTGATAATTTACTGACCCCTATTGCATACACCGAGAAAAGCAAGACATAATAAAAATACATATATTTCTTTTACCTTATACGTACGTGTATACCAATGTCACTCAATAATAAAGGTAAGTCAATTTATATAAATAAGATCATATACAACTATTTTATTTATATGTAGGTCTCCATGAATGCGCATTCACAAAAGTGGTAAGTCAATTAATATAAATAAATTTATATTTAACTATTTTATTTATATTTAAGTCTTCATGAATTTACATTCACAAAACTGGTAAATCAATGAATTTCAATAAATTTATATTTAACTATTTTATTTATATTTAGGTCTTCCTAAATTTACATTCACAAAAGTGATGAGTATACCAATTTAAATAAAATTATATCTAATTATTTTATTTATATTAAGGTCTTCATGAATTTACACTCACGAAGCTGAGAAGTAAATGAATTTTAGTAAATTCATATCTAACTATTTGATTTATATTTAAGTCTTCATGAATGTACATTCACAAAACTGGTAAGTCAATTAATATCAAGAAATTTATATCTAATGAGTTTGTTTTATATTTAGGTCTTGCTGAATTCAGAATCACAAAACTGGTAAGTCAATTAATAAAAATAAATTTAGCGAACTATTTGTTTTTGTGTTTAGGTCTTGATGAATGCACATTCAGAAAGCTGGTAAGTCAATGTATTGAAGGAAAATTATATCTAATGATTTTATTTTATATTTAGGAATATGTGAATGTAAAATAGTGGTTATGGATCGGACCTTAGTTTGGATGCGTTTTGGGCTGACGTACGGATTAGTTTGATGGGGCTGAGCGAGTCGAAGGGAGTTTTGAAAACTGCTCGGAAACCCATTAAGAGTTTCCGAGGATAGACAATGTGTCGATCTAAAATGAAAGATAGGGTTCCCGAGATGTCGGAAGCCCTTTCGGGGAAACCCTTAAAGCGTTTCCGATAATAACAAATTCGGAAACCCTTTAAGGGTTTCCTAAGGTACGATTTTGTTTTAGAGTGCACTGATGTACCCTTTGATCAACCCATGTTAGGTTGAGAAAACACGTCAACCTGCTGATGTAAGCTTTGATCAACGCACTTGAGGTTGATGGAAGACATCAACCCACTGATCTACCCTTTGAT